GTACTAATGGCTCTTTGATTAGGGATTTGTCTAAAAGGCATCTGGCTACAGTGACTATATTTGGAAGATACACACAATTAATGCATGAGCCCTCCTCATTGTCAGGATGACTTTTTTCTACAGGGACCTAGAGCATGCTTTGTACTTCATTGTCCTGTTGAGAAACTTTGATAGGTTTCATCAGCTTGCAGAAGCTAATTAACTGTACACTTCAGGGAATCTTCTCACTATTTTGTGCTTTATTGTTAGCAAGCACTATTTTCACTTTCAAATGTAGAGAGTGAAGTAATGTGCAGTAGTTTCAGTATGGCAATATGTGCTAGATTCATTAATAGTTCAAATTAGGGATGGGCATGAGCTGGCTCATGAAGTAAAATTCATGCCAGATTTGGGCCATTTTGGGGTCTAGGAAGTGTTGTTTATCTGAATATGTGCTCCTCAAACATTGCTTGAACTTTAGGACAGTTCGGACGGTCCAGGAAATGGAAACTTTTCCCAGCAAGCCCAGTGCTGATGGAGCACACTCCCTGGCAACAGTGGGGGTGGAGTTCTCTCCAGCCTTGGAAACACCAGTAGGGACCCTCCAAACCTTGATAGGCACTGCTGGCTGCCAGTTACAGAGCTCCTATTTGTCTCTATGGGATCTGAAAGCTACAGAAAGCCCAACCTGAAGTCCAGCCCTCCTTTGTTGGGTTTTGCAGCGAGTTGGAGAGGATCAGAATTGCAGAGAGATAGGAGGAAGTTGATCTGCTTTGCTGGGCACGGGATTGCTGTTTGCTCTCTGTGTGTGTGTGCATGTGTGCACCCCATGGCACCCAGCCTTTCTGCTCACATTGGGCAGTGGGGCTTTGCTACTGAGTTGGTGCCTCTGAAGAGAGCTGGCATGTCTACACCCTCCTCCTTTTGTTGATCAACTCTCTGGGCTGGGGTGTGTTTGCTGGGCCAGGGCTCTGTGTGCCAGTGCCACCCAGCCTGGGGTTTTGCTTTGCTGCCTTCTGGTGTGGGTTTCTATTCTCTACCTCCCACCGCTCCTTTTTTGGTCAACTCTGTGAGCTGGGGTGTGTTTGCTGGGCTAGTGTGCCATCCACCCTGGGGCTTTACTTCTGCTGCTAGTTTCTATTCTCTACCCCCACCCCTCTTTTTTGATCTTCTAGTTCTCCACTGGGGGCTTTTTGTGTTTGTGTGTCAGGGCTCTGATTCCACAGACTCTCCACTCACGCTGGGTGTTGGGGCATAGCTAGTGGTTGTCTTGGCTGAGGACTCATGTTTATACACTCCCACACACTCTATATTTTGATCTTCTGGCTCTCTGCTGGGAGCTTTGGGCATTTGTGTGTTCAGTGCCATGAGGGTGAGAGGGGTGGAAGAAGTGGTCATTGTTGGAGAAAAGAAACCTCATCCTCCTGTGTACCAGAGGGCCCCATCCCTGGGCACCAAACACAGCCCCCCAGAGGATGTCCTCATTCCCAGCATGTCATCAGCAGGAGTCTCGGAGCCTCCACCCTCTGCTCAGTCCATGGGGCTCTCTCAAGACAGTAGAGTTTTTGGCACTGCCCCAACAGCAGCAATCGATAACACCGTTGGAAGGGAGTACTCCAACAGCAGTGATTCCCAGGGTGGTGGTGAAACATCCGCCCCTTCCACATTCCAGCTCCCTGCTGCTCCTACTGCTGTCAGGATGGGAGAGGCTGTTGGCGATGATTAACACAGTGAATGGTAAAGACATTTGGCACCACTTTTTTCAAGTAAGCAACATACTCATGATAGCAACGAGACATTGGTGGTGCTCTATCTCTTGCACAAGCAAGTATGTTAGTAAGCAGAATGTCCTTGTCTTTGAAGAACTGCTCAGCAACACAAAATATTGACTCCCCTTTAGTATCTGTTCTTAGTTGCCTTGCAAATAACAACCCCTGAGCCAAACTTTCATCTTTTATAAAGCACGTGTAAGCAAGAGACAAAAATTCATTGCCTGGCAAAGTTAATTCATCTGGCTGTAATGCAAATTCTGTTGTTGTTAGTGTGCTGCGCAATGCATCTTCCACATTTTCAGCCATTTCATGGCTCTCTGGTGGTGGTGCTCTTCAGGCTTTTTGTGTTGCTGCAGATTTTCAGGTGGCTGCAGCTCTCTTGAGGCTCCTTCTCAGGTCACTCTGTTCTCTGCCATGAGACCCAGATGGCTTCTGTCTCTTTTTTACTTCTCAGAACCCTCTCTTTTCCTTCAGAACTCTTCTATGGCTCCTTCTCAGGAACAAAATACCTCCCTTCCAATTCCAATAGATGGCCAAACCCACTATGTTAAGCTTATATAATCTAGAAATATTATTATTGGGTGGGCTGCAACAAAAATAACATTTAGCTTAAAAGCTCATTTCATAATCAACAGGTTTGGTAACTGAAAACACAGGAAAATAAATACCAGACCCAATACTACTATGTTAAGGACTTACCAGCAAAAACTTGAAAAATGACAGAAACAAAAGCACACACAGCGACAACAGCGTCTCGAAACTCAGTATGCTGGTCTAACTACAGCCCTGGTAGTGTATTTACTAAAAATTCAAATAGTTTCCACCAGTTTTTAGCACTAGGCAGAGGCAGAAACTTGGAGTGCTGTTTGCCAGAATCTAGGCTGTAGCCTGGTCAATTGTAGATAAGTGAACAACGTAGTCAGAGGGGCCCACCTCCAGCACCTCCCTTCCGCCCCTTGCCTCTTTGTGCCCCTCCACCACCCCATTGCCTCTTAGTGCCCCCAAGTAATACTCCTCCAGGGGGTGGTAGCACCTAGTTCTGGAATCACTGAGCTAGGGCATACACAGAGTCAGAGCCGGAGGAATTGCATGTTTACACCTTTTTTTTTTTGGATCCCTTGCTCAGTTTGTTGCTGTGCTGAGATTATATGTGTAGACATAGTATACACTTTATAATTTTGGATTGCTAGTAGTTGTTCTCTGTACCACAGAGATTTCCACTGTTCAGATATGCTGTTGAAAAATGTTCCTGGGGGAAGGGGGCAGTCAATTGACAAATCAGTATTTTTTCAGTGGTGTGCAAGTGCAGTAAGCTGTCCCTATGGTAACCAGTTGTTGGGTAGAGGGAGATGCAGGCACGAGGCAGGATCTTAGAACAGCTATTGTTCTGGTCCAGTGTTCCTGGAGGGCAAGTGCTGGTATTCAGCAGGGCAGTTCAAAGACAGAGGTTACAGAGAGAGAGAGCATCCAAAGTCCTGTCCAAAGTCAGGGTTTTCAGAGAGTAGAATAACAAAGTCCAGTCTAGGGTCAAGGGGTCCAGGCAGCAAGTTTAAGTCCAGTCCAGGGTCAGGGATTCCAGAAAAGCCGGTTGTGCGTGTCCAGTCCAGGGTCCAAGGTTTCAAAGGCCCGGTAACAAGATCAGTGGCTCAGTAATGAAATGTACTTGTTGCATCCACAAACTGCTGCTCCTCTTGCCTGATTTTATAGCTAAGCCTTAATACTCACAGCCAATTACTTGGTAGTCATCCAGAAACTACTAATCTATCTCATCAGTTGACACCTGATGACGGGCCAGGAGACGTGCACTTTATCTCATTGCCTGCAACTCTGCATGCTGCTGACAGTGCCAGCCCTGCATGGGTATGGGGTATCCAGGTGGGCTGGGAGTTGTCTGTGTAGGCTTGTTTCCTGATTCAGAGCTGGAGAGTATTGGCCACAGATGTGGGCAGTGAAACAGCCAGTGTTGGCTTGGCTGCAGCAGAGGGCTGTGAGTTATGATCAGTCAGTAACTCAATCTCTTGTTGCTCATCTGCTGGCTCAGGACTGGCTACAGCCAACTCCTCATCTGAGGAATCCTCGCTGTCACTGATCACAGGCTGACTTATGACAGCTATGCAAGGAAGGGAAGTTGGGAGCACTGGTCCCCTCAGTAGGTAATTCCTACAAAGGCCAGTTGGTGGCAGCAGTACCAAAAGAAGGAGAGGAAACTCCTTTGAGGGTTGGGAAAACTGGGAAAGTGCTACATCACTGGGTGGAGATTTGGCAAGTCACAGGTTTCTTGACATCTTGGAGGGCAGGATGGAGTGGTGCCCACGGGTCAGTGGGGCTGTTCCACCACAGAGGTACCTTGCTCCAGGTCAGAGATCTCTGTATCAACAAATACCGATAAGTGATCTCAATTGCAAATAGGAAATCCCTTTACATTAGTGGAAGAAAGACTCTGTCTTTTTTCCTTTCTCCAGCAGTAGCTGTGTTTGACATTTACATGGTTGTATCCTATTGGCCTGGTGTGATGTGGTCCATGGGGTCGCGAAGAGTCGGACTTGACTGTGCGACTGAACAACAAATCCTATTAGTCCCCTATGACAGCTATTTGAGCCTATCCTCATTGAATTAGAAATACTACATTATATTTAACACTACCAAGAAAAAAATCACTGATTCTGTATACCATTTAATACTGGTATTAACTTTTCATATATATGGGGCTCTGCGATTATACATTTCAGTCCTGTCTCCCACATTCTAAGCTGCTTTTGCAATATATCTTGACAATTTTGAATGAAAAATAAGGAAATAAAATTATACTTTAAAAATCCCACTGGCTCTGTTAGTATGAAATAGAATATGTTTTTTTTCCTGTCACTATGAGAAGCAGCTAAGAAATTAGCAGATCTGGTGAGTTTACCACTAATTTGAGTCAGCAACACCCATTAGCCAATCAGTACGGGAATTAAAGTTCTGAAATACAAGTCAGTCTTACTATCTGGAAACATATAGCTACAAGGAAGAGAAGGGAGGAAAACCAAATACAGTTCTTGCTTGAGTTTTTCATAAAAGCACAAATAAAATACAACCATAAGTACACTATGATATCATACAGTACACTTAACTGATAGTTTTTTAAAAGTTATTTTAAGTGCTGTAAGAAAAAAAACTTAGGATTGACAAAAAATAAGGTAAGATTCTAAATGGTGTCCTAAGGACAAGTACAAACAGAATTAATCATTGCATTTTGGGGTCTTTCAGGTGAAGCCAGTTATCCACAGCAGAATCAATGTGTCGGCACGCTTTCGAAAGCCGCTTCAGGAGCCATGCACTGTTTTGTAAGTAAGATTTTCTGACTCCCAGTTTGCTCAACTTCATTTTGTAGACCATTACTTTGTTTGTAACTTGGTTTCATCTTTTCAGCCTGATTGCAAATGGTGATCTCGTAAGCCCAGCAGTGCGTCTTTTTATTCCAAGGAAAACGCTGAATCAGTGGGAACATGTTCTTGAAATGGTAACCGAGAAAATTACACTCAGAAACGGAGCTGTTCACAGGTAAGGGGAAGTCATATTGTAGACATTTGCATCTTATAAGATGGTATTTTCTTAGCACTGTCCAGAAATAATATTTTCTGAGAAACTGGATCTTGCAGTGTGCTTAATCTCTTTTCAAGACAATATGAAAAATGGTCCAAAGGCTGATAACATCCATTTGCTGAAAATGTCTCACCTACTGTCGTCAGCTGTTGGTGTCTTTAGAACACATATGTCTGAGGCTTTTTACCTGTCTGTCAGCTGGGCACTAAAGAAATATGTGATGCATATGATGCTGTTTTATACCAAACTAGGCCACTGGTCTACCTAGCTCAGCACTGTTTACTCTGACTTACATTGATTCTCCAGATTTGCAGGCAAAGATCCCCCCCTCCCCAATCTGCTTAATGAACTCCTTTAGCTGGAGATGCCAGGACTGAATCTGGAATCTTTTACATGCAAAATTTGTGCTATACCACTGGGCCATAGGTCCTCCTCAAAGTGAAAGGCATTTGAAAAGGAAAGGATGCTGTGGCCCCTGGACTAGGAATGCTGCAAATCTACATCTATGGAAAAAGGAAAGAAAACCACTACTAACTAAAACCCCAAGTATAGTAGATCATTACATCAGCTTATATAAGTGTTAGTCTAAAATGCTTACAGTACATTGAACATAGTCAATTAAGCTAAATTATTTATCTTTTTAACAGTTTTTTAACTGTTTAAAGAAAACCCCAAGAGCATCATTTATATCACATGCTTTAAGGCACCATTCAGAGTCCTTCAGCCTTCACTTTGCTTTATCTTTTCTAATCCTCAATTGGTATTCTCGTTTAGGGGCAGCTGCCCCCTTTTCTGAAGCTGATCAGACTGACATGTTGCTGGAGCTAGTGGTATAAAGAATCTGAGACTTGCTGCCACTGTGTCTCTTTTCACGAGTCTTACACTCATCACTGTAGGCATACTCAGGGGTCATTTCCTGCAGGAGCGCATGGGAGCAGAGCTCCGGCAGTAAAGAGCCCAGGGGGCGGGCACATGCAACAAGCCCCGCCCCCTGCTCCCAGCAGCCCTCAGTCAGAGCAAGAAGCAGCGAGGTAAGTTGCAGAGCTCTCCCCCGGCCCAAAACAGTTCAGTGGCACCTTTAAGACCAAGTTTTATTCAGGTACAAGCTCTCCCTCCTCTGCGAGGACAGATCTGCATGTGTCCCCCCCCATAGCTAGCAATCCAAAACAGTCCAGTGGAGCCTGAGCGGTGGGTGTTGCCTTCTGACACCCTTCCGGTGATGTCATGGGGTGTGGCATATGCAAATAAGTTATGCTAATGAGTTATGCTAATGAGCTCCTGCACCTCTTTTTCTACGAAATGACCCCTGGGCATACTACAACCAAACCTTGGAACAAGAAATATTTCTTCTGGTCCTCTCTTACATACTTTTTGCCAATAGATTCAAGTGGGTAGCCATGTTGGTCTGAGATTCTGCCCTGTCTTTTCCCTCCATTGTTTTACAAAACCCACACTGGAACAGAAATTCCCCTCTGCACTGTATGCTGCTTTCACTTCCTTTGACCATTGGATTTTATTGTCGCCTCCACACTCCATGCTGCTTTCGCTTTCTTTGGTCATCGGATTTTATGGCACTTTCTGCATAGATTTATGGCCGTTCAGGGGTGACTTTGCAGTCAGTACGGTGTTGCCCCGAGATAGTTGAATGTGGTTTTGAGCTGCACTTTTTCCTCCCAGTCGAGAGAATGTGGAGCGAATGCTGGATGCAGAATTGCCCAAAGTTTGAGTCCGGTGGCACCTTTAAATCAGCAAAGTTGGTCTTAAAGGTGCCACTGGACTCAAACTTTGTTATACTTCTTGCCAACCGTGTTAAACCTGGTGGCTGAGTCTGCCTTAAGCAAGCAAATGCTAAAGGAATCTGGTTAGTAATCTAATTTGCGTTTATTTCAGTTGTTCCTCTTTATGTGATAAAGTAAGTAAAATAGAGTGGATCTAATCTGAGAAGTAAAGTTCAAGTGGATGACAAAGCCAAGAATCAGAATTGAAGGATATGGGAGGAAGATTGCAGTTGTGCTCCTGTCCTCAAAAGTGTTGCATGGGTTCAAGCCCCATTCACGCCAGTGAGACCACTTGTACCGGCAACATTTGTTTATGATATTTGATTAGTAGATGTCTGAGTTCTTTAATTACACTGATCTCCTGTCAGCATTTTGAAAAGCATTATAAATAAACTTGCCTTCCATTCCATCTAGTGGTGCAGGTGTGCAGCAGACTTTCTGATATACTGGCGTGCCAGAAATGGTATGCATGGCTCTTTTTGCTTGATATTACAAGTAATAGCAACATGCTAAAGCTAAGACAAATGGCAGGGCTTCTAGAAAAACTCATTTTACAGAGGTTAGGGAGAAAAGAATCATAATATATTAACAATATGTACTTTTTAAATAATTAAATAAGACTCTTGCCTTGGTAGTTTCATATACAGCTGGCCTGGAGGATTGATCTTGGAATGCTGATTAAAGCTTTCTAATTTATGACAGGGAAGTTTATATTTGAAGAATAAGAGGGTTTTTTTAGAATAGGAAAATTCGTGGTTTAAAAGAATCAGTGGCGGCTGGTACCCTCACAGAACATGGTAATGCTCCAAAGTCTACCCACCTAACTCAACTAGCTGTGCTCATCCACAGTGTCCTCTGATCCAGGGTAAATTGTTCAAGACAAGTGATCTTTCTCACATAGGGATGACAGCCTCCTGGTGGGACCCAGAAATTCCCAGGAATTACAGCTTATCTCCAGACTACAGAGATCAGTTCCTCTGGAGAAAATGGATGCTTTGGAGAGTGGACTCTATGGCATTGTACCCTACTGCAGCCCCTGTCCTCCCAGGCACCACATCAAATCTCCAGGAGTTTCCCAACCTGGAGCTGGCAACCCTAACCCCCACCCCTGGCAATGGCCAGGGAGGACCTGGCAACCCTATTCTCACATGATCCTGAAACACAGAGTGAATATTTGAATCAAGCATTCACAAAACATACTGAATGTCCTGGAGAGGCAGCATAAAAATGTTCTAAATAAATATTCTAGAATATGTGCCTGCGCATGTGCATGCGCGCGCACACACACACATATGTATACATTAAATTCAACTTACTATTAATACATTCCATATAAAAATGAATCTTCAATTAACACATCATCTGAACAAATTATACTTTAGTTCGTTCTGTACTAGATGTACTAATGAAAAAAGGTCTTTAAAATGCTTATCTCTAACCTCTGTTACATATATCCTCCGGCTCTTATATCTAAAATCAATATACTCTTTAAAATATATATTCATATTGGGTTGGGTTCAGCTAGTTTTTTCACTCAGTCTTACCTAATTGCCCTCCTAGTACAGCACCCATCCCACATGGTTTTTGTCCATGAATGTACCATGATCCCCATCATACCTTTTTTGGGTTGACAAAAGGGAGAGCCTCCTCCATTTTCCTATACTGGGAAAACTATTTGGATCTAGGGGTGTGCATTTGGATCTACCCCAGCCAAAAATATACCTGAAAAACACCTTATTGGTATTTTTCAGGTATATTTTGGCTTCCCAAATGCACCCCGGTTTTCTCAGGAAAATCGATGAAAAAATCCTGGATATATTCGGGAATTACCGGTAGATCTGAAAACAGTGGAGAGGCAGGAGGAGATTGCTTCAGCCTCTCACCTGTTTCTTGGGCTTTTACTGAAGACAGCCTGAGGATCAGCTGTGCTGCTGGGGGGAGCAGGCTGTTCCCACTGGCTTGGTTTGGGGCTGGCTTTTTGTGCCAGCCCCAGAAGCTGCTGTGCTGCAGGAAGCAATCTGCTAGCCGTGGCACAGCAGATTCTGGGGTCAGTTTCTCCTGCAGTGCAGTTTAAATCATGGTACAAGAGAAGCCATCTCCCAGCCAGGTCTGTGTGCAGTGGGGAGAGACCTCACTGTGGCATGCAGATCCTGGGGCCAGTTTCTCCTGCAGTTCAGTTTAAACCACGCTACAGGAGAAACCAAGCCAGCCCCAGGACCAGGCTGGCTTTTATTTTTCACTGGTATTTTTATTCTTGGGTCTATTGGGCCTGAAAAAAATCAGGAATTCTGAAAGATGCCAGATCTGAATACTATGCCAGTATTGGAATCTGGGCTTTTTTGAAAATATCATTTTTTTTCCAGGTCCAATAGACCCCAACTGAAAAATGTCAATTAAAAAAAAATTGCATACCCCTAGCTGGATCCAATTTATTATACAAGGATGCATAGTATTCCAAGTGTGCATCGTTTTCTCTCAACATGCTATTTTTATTATGTTGCAATTACAGTCTAAAGCTGCAACAATCTTCTGTTTACCCACAGCAAGTTTCCTTTACCATCTACTGGTCTACAGCCTTGCTTAAGTCAACAGGTTACACCTTTCAGGCTGAAATGTACATCTGGAGATCTGGCCTTAGATTCCCAATATAAAGTGTAGTTAGGTCTGCTGTTTTGTCAGAACCCACAGCCAACAACGTAGTACACGCTTATCAGGAAAGGTAATACTTTATTGAAGAGCTATAGATGCATTAACATAGGCACTGTTAAGAATGATGGCTGCCCATGGGCATAATAGGATATAGTTATACCAAAAAAGGACACAGACCCACTACAAGCCAAATCTTACAGGCCAATATCACTTCTTAATCAAGATCAGAAAATATTCACATCAATATTAGCCAAGAGGATCAACACTTTCATATCAAAATACATACACAACGATCAAGTTGGTTTTATACCCAATAGGGATCTATCAGACAATACCTTGAGAACGTTACAATTAACGCAATACTGCCTAAAATCTAAAATCCCTGTTGCCTTCCTTACTCTCGATATTGAGAAGGCCTTTGATACAAACCATTTTTTTAAAATACATTCATTAAGTTTAGCAGAATATTAGTCTGGTTTACTATGCCAACTTTTGGGGAAATCTACTGAGAATTTGTCTTCTGCAAGCTTCATTGAACAAATGGGAGTAGTAAACAATTCCTTCATGTAGTTAATATTATTCTTCCGATTAAGAAAAGTAGACTGAAGGTTATTTTGGCTCACTTGGAATAGGGTTCTTGATAGACCTCTAGACTTACCAATTGTTTCAAGGAAGCAATTCGTTAATTCGTTAATTCATTTTCCTGTGGTGTTTTTTGGCATGAGAAATATTACAACAGCATTTAGTTATCTTGTTAACAGTTCACACTTGGACTGTTATATGTATTTTACAGGCTCTACACATTAGATGGAAAACCTGTTGAGAGTGGGTTGGATTTGGAAAACGGACAGTTTTATGTAGCGGTTGGCAGAGACAAATTTAAGAAGTTACCCTATAGTGAAGTACTGTTTACCAAATCTACAGTTAGGAGATCTTATGGGTAAGTGTAATTCATGCTTTGTGCTTTTATGCTAACCGTATTTGTGAACAAAAAATCTCGTAAAATGCCTTGTGCCTGGATGCTTGCTGTAACTTGGCATATATGTGACCATGGGATTTTGATATGCTACCTTCTGGGACCCATATATGTGAAGAACTAGGCCAACAGTACTCTTGCATTTACTGCTGATACGTATACCCTTGATTGCCTGTTTTAGATGTTACATTTGTCCTTGTGACCATGTATATAGGAAAGATTATGCATGCTTCTATGAACAAAAATGAACTTTGTGCAGTGTTGTTATTATTGTTGTTGTTACTTAGTGTGTTGTTATTTAGTGCATTTTTATCTTATCCTTCCTCCAAGAGGCTCAGGGAAGTATATATGGATCTATCTACCTCCATTTTGTGTTTACAACAATTTCCCCTGCAACAGGGTATGCTGAGTTTTTTTGTTGGTTTCCTCATCCCGCTCTCCATTTTTCTTAGACAAATATATTTTTACCAAATATAAAAAGTGAATGTTCTGTCTCAGACCATGAAAAACAGGCCCTTTAATACTGATCTTCAGCAGTCATGTGTATGTCTCTGTGGGTTGAGTAGCTGAAATTGTCTGCAGCATTTCAGTTTTTCATATAATGCTAAACTGCCCCCCATCTCATCAATACAGTGTTATGGTTAATTTTTATGAGATTATTTCTGATTTAAATCCTGTTTAGGACAAAGTACAGTAACAATTTATGGACTATTTTAAAATATATTATATAGTTAGTTACTGGCTTCCAGGCATCTTGGAAAGACATAATGTTTGTCAGTAAAAGATAAGTTGTTTCCTATAAAAATTCATGATATGGAAAATGTTCTGAATGTTGGATCCTAAAATTTTATCTCTTTTTACAGGTCAAAGTCATCTGGGAAGTCTAAGGGGAGTGTGAGTATCAAAAACAATGCTTTATTTATTTGGGGATTTCTGTCCTTCCTTTCTGCCAAAAATTGTACCTTAGCCAGCTTACAAATTTAAACTCATTAAAAGGAATATCACATTTAAATCAGCAACCAAGCATTAAAAAAATTATTAAAAGCCAAGTGCCTTCAAATTAGACATTATTAAAAGTGCAGATTTATAGGAGGAACGTCAACTGGCATCTAAAGAATAACAGACATGCCAGCTGAATCTGACTGAGGAGGGAGTTCCATAGCTGGGTCACCACCACAGAAAAGGCCCTCTTTCTAGTATTCTGTGGGGGTGTCTGTTGAGATACGAAACAATCAAAACACCATTTGAAAATGCTCCATTTAGTTGTTACAACTAATCTGAAGTTTAAAAACTTTTTCAACTGTAATTTGCCCCCCCCAATCGGAATAACAAGACGGACAACAGTTTGGATCAAACAAGGGCCACTTTATTAACTATATATAACAGTTTATTAACAAAAACAGCAAGGGAGCAGTTTCTAAGTAGTGGAACAGACAAGGCAGGTGTCAGGATGACCAGCCTCCTTGTCCAATATGTGGGTGAGCCACCAACCTCGGTCTTGAGCCATTAATCTGGCTTGCGACCGGCAGCCCAGCCACTGGTAGCCTCCTAGGAGCGCCTACCCCTGAAACCATATGCTTGCAGAGAGGAGCTTACTCAAGAGGTTCCCAGAGGGGATCATCATTCACCGCCCTGGGCCTTAATAACCCGCAGGCCATTCCTGAAGACCCCCCAGTTCCCAAAACAGGGAACAGCTTAAGGTGCTCACCATTTCCCGCTTCCTTATCCCTGCACTATTCTGCCACTTGAGAAGTCAAGCCACCTCACAACCTAAGGCGGCCCTAATCCCTTGCCAAATGTCCTCCAAAAACAACTTGTTGCCCTTGTTTGACATGTGAGGTCAGTCTTTCCGACCACTATTTCGGGATGTGCTAAATATTGACCCAAGTCACCCTCCATGGCTTTCCACATCTGTCTGTTCACTTTATGATGAGCATGGTCAATGCATCTGGGATCCCCCAGGTTGCACCATACCTGCCATGGCAAAATTGCCAACCAAATTATTTGCACCCTGGGCCATCTTGCCCGTATCAATTTCAGGTCTTCCGTGGCCTGAATTACCAGGGCCTTGCCTTTCATCGGGCCAAGATCATTGCCACCCAGGTGCACCAGTAAAACATTGGGGGGTGGCCCACGCCGTTCTTCAAACAATAGTGAGAGTAACCTGGGCCAATGCATGCCCCTCCTTCCCCACCAGTCAACCAAAGCCAACTCACTCAGGCCCAACTGAGAACCAACCGTCGTCCTCTTGGCCTGATGAGCGGCCCAAAAAATCATACTGTGGCCGCAGATAGTGACTCTCCTCCGTGCCTGCCGGCCCACAGCACCTGAAAAAGAACTATTTTAGGAACGTGTTCCATTCAGAACTTGCATTGATGCACATACCCTTTAAAACTACGAGATCTCCATCGACCTATGCCTTGTATGTCTTCCCCCGAGTACCCCATGGCAGCCGCCATGGAAGCAGCTCCAATTGTAAATGAATGGGTCCCGAAACAGAACCCGCCTAGACCCAATTGATTAAGCGCTTTCTGCATCAGCGCCCAAAACTGAAATTTTGTGAGAGGGGACCCATCTCTGTGCTGAAATAATGTTCCGTCCCTTAACCCCCGAAGCTTCAGGTAATGGTGTAATGCCACCACCGGGCATAATTCAGATTCAGAACAATGACCTAATTCTATCACTGAACCCTTACCCACCTGATCAGTCTTTGACCGCCTAATATTAATGTCCAAACTAGTCTCTCGGACCCTGATGTCAGTAAATTTAAGAGCCCTATCAGATGTATCACTCTGTGAAGTAGGGACGAGCTCGCTAATACACAGAGCTCCAAAAATGCTATTAATGATGCCGAATGAAAGAGAGCAGCCTCATATTCATCAGCACAATGCCCTAAGACCCTTTAACACTGAAGAAGTCAATGGCTCCCTGGCATCCTGAGGATGCCCTGCTTCACGGGACCACCCATCTAACATCTTTTTGACACGGAAATCTTTTGTCCTGTCTTCATGGCCAGCAGCCTTAGCCATGTAGGCAAGGGAGGACAGCCTGCCCTTTATAGAGCGAACTGACAAGCCCTTCCGCTTCAAATAAACGCAAAACTGCATGAGTTGAGGAACTGGGATGAGCCAAACATGCCGTAATCCAGCCTCTTGCCTAAAAGCGACAAATTGGTGACCCGCCCTCATGTATGATTTACGCGTTGAAGGCGTGAGGACCAAACCTATTGCCCGTTCAGCTTCAAGCGCCCAATCCGCCAAAAACTGGGAGGCATCCTTACTGGGCGCTCGTCCGCTTCCAGGGCCAGCTGACGGAATCTCCCCATCTGTTTTCGAGAGAGAGCATCAGCGACCCCATTACTTGCACCTGGAACATGCCTTGCGCAAAACAATATATTATTCCTCAAACATAATAGTGTAAATGCCCTAACCAACGTCATGACCCGTACTGACTTGGATGTTAGTGAGTTTATTACGTGTACTGTGGCCTGATTGTCACACCAGAAGTGGTCAGCAAAATCAGCTGTCCAAATCCCCACTGCTACAACAATCGGAAAAAACTCCAGAAAGGTTAGGTCCTTCACCCAGCCTGCCTGGAACCAATCCTGTGGCCAGTCCTCAGCACACCAGTGTCTTCTAAAGTACACCCCATCTCAGCGCACGATCACACCTGAATATATAAGGAAACCCGGGAGCCAATTGGCCCAGGTCTTATCCACTCTACGCCTCTTAATGCGTTCTTTGTCCCTCTCATCTAGGTCCTCCTTGTCTTTTTTGTCGAGTTCCCGAAACAATAAAGAGAACACATCCGCATAGCTACCCTTAAGAATTTTGTCCTTAGTAGCCAAGGAAAGGTGATCCCCCAAAGGCAAGGCAGCCAAAAGGCCCCCATTGCCGCTAAAATTAAACCCCCTTCACCACCGAGAACGGATACTCTTGCGGTAGTGGCTCCCAGGACCCATCCATGGATGGTCACAGCCACCAAGAAGCCTCCTGTGACAGCGGCCACCACCAGAAAAGCCTCTCTGTCCAACCCCTGGATTCCCTGCTCGAGCCGCCGATGCTGCCGCCGCGAAATTGCCGCCCTTCACCACTCCAGGCCCAGGAGTCCGCGCAGCAGCACTACAGCCTCACGCTCAGTCCAAGCCGAGCACGAGGCTGCAACTGCTTTGGGTGGGAGTGGAGCCAAGCCTATACTAGGCTGGCTCCTCCCCGCCCACGTCCGCAGCGACAAAACAGCCACCGGCCTCCATTGCCTTCGGCTGGCGACCGGGAGCTCCAATTAACAAAATTAACTATGAAGAGACTGAGGATAATATTTTTGCAGGTTATATTGTATTAGGTATTGTGTTATTCCTATACTATACAGTGTTACTCATGCTCATTTAAAACAACAACAACAACAAAAAGCAGAAGAGACCTGCCTGCTTTTTAGACAGAGGGGAAGGGATAGCTGGAGGAAGATTTTTTAAAGGTTGTAAAGGTATTGTTTTATTCCTGTCCAGCATTATTCATGCTTGTGGATTTAAAAAGAAAAACAGTAGAGAATCACCCACAGCTCAGCCTGCCTTTTTGGGATGGGGGAGGGAATTGTTGGAAATGTATCTGCAAATATATGTTTTTTAAAAGGGTTAAAAAAAAAGATACTACATATTTTATATGCAGTGTTATCCATGCTCCTAAAAAACCCACCCCAAAAAAGAGTGGACTGAGAATCCTGAGAACACGGGGGGAGACGGGTGGGGGGCAGGGGTTCAATGTGCTTCAGGTATGAACTGGCACCCAGCTAAAAATGGAGAGAAAATGGATTACTCTGGGCTGTTTGAAATTTCTGTTGCAAGGGCAATTTCACCCAGAATCCTATCAGCAACCAGACAGCCATGAAAAATCGCCCTGGTGAATGATACCATCTGTAAGGGAGGAGAAAACCTGATACAAGTAAGAAGCTGAGCTGCATCAAAAAACCCTGTGTGGAAAAGCCCTAAAACTTCCTGTACTATCAAACACATTCATTTCCTTTCAGTTAAAAAGAGTAAATAGGATATCAGAGGAGGAAGAAAAGAGAGATGGAGTCCATGAAGGGGAAAAAAAATAAGAACAAAGGAGGGAAAGATAAAGAGTTTTATGGTGCTTGATCTTAAGGAAGAGGTAAGGGCCAAGCTAGACACTACAGTGTCACTGGGTCCACAGCTGCTTCCATCTAAAAACCTAAAATGGGTGATTTAATATGCTCTGAAGGCCTGATCTCGCAGTGCAGCTGGATGAGGTGGTTGTCTTCCCCCCTCCCTGTGCATTTTCAAGTGCTGAAAAGGCTGTGATGGGGGGAGCTTGAAGAGGCATAGGGTGGAAAACAAGAGCACCTCATCCCACCATGCTACAGGTGTTGTTTTTAAGTCACCCATTGTAGGCTTCAAAATAACAGTGTCATCCCCCGATGGACAAAAGGATGACATCACGTGTAGTTTGGCCCTAAATCTCTGGAATTCCTAGCAAGGTAAGCATTGGAGGTAGGGTTGCCAACCTCCAGGTGGTGGCTGGAGATTTCTTGGGAATGCAACTGATCTCCAGGCAACAGAGATCAGTTCACCTGGAGAAAATGGCTGCTTTGGAAGATAGATTCTATGGCATTATAAACATTTGAAGTCCCTCTTCTCCCCAAACCCCTCCCTCCTCAGGCTTCAAATTTCAGAGTATTTCCCAACCCACAGCTGGCAACCCTAACTGAAGGTTAGTAACCTCATTTTAGGCCTATGTAGGCTGTCAGGTGGACTGAGAGATGTTATATTATTGCTATTTTTGACACATGACAAGTTTGTGAATTGAAAGGAAGTTTAATTGCCACTGATTTGGTGATGAGTTTTTCAGTGTTCCAAAAATAGTATTTTGGAAACTAGTTTGACTTGTAGACTCCTAGTTACTTGTCAGAGATGTGTTCATGTTTTAGGCAGAAATGCACAGGAACAGAGTTCTGGCTGGCTTCAGAGTTGGCCATGCCCACTACAGCTAAAACCTCTGCGTGCGTGGCTACAGAGGGAACCTACAGAGGGAACCTACAGAGGGAACCTATAGAGGCGAACCCCCCCGACGACTCCAAGGCAGGAAGGCCAGGGGGGCCCCTGGAAGCTTCGGGGAGGCATTTAAATTTCTTCCCGTGCCTTCCCCGTCCTGTTCAAGGGCCGGCATGCCTGGGCTCCCTGCAGCCGTGGGGTGCCCGGGCAAGCCAAGGGAAGGCAGTTTAAACTGCCTTCCCTTCTCTTCAAGGGGGGGTTTGCCCAGGCTCCCCGCAGCTGCGGGGCACCCGGGAAAGCCAAGGGAAAGCATGGGGGTGTGGCCTAATATGCCAATGAACTGTACTGTCAGGGGTGTGGCCTAATATGCTAATGAGTTTCTGCTGTTTGGTGTTGCCTATTATGCTAATGAGTTCCTGCTGGGCTTTTTCTACAAAAAAAGCCCTGGACATACTGTATTACCAAGTTTATGCCAAAGTGACATTTTCAGGATTAAGTGTTGCTTTTCCACATTAAAGCCAGGCACCCTGTTATCAAGATTAAAATTTTAAATTTTAAAATAATAAAATAATAAAATGTAACTTATGTGTGTATTTAAAAGGGACATGCAAAAGTTCTTTTGTGCATTTTCCATAAATTAAATGTTAACTTGTTAATTTTTTTTCTTTTTTGGGTGGAACAATTACTAGTCCAAATCTACTGACACGGGTGACACAGTGTCATCTCCTCCACCTTCAAAGAGGAAGGAAAAGCATAGACAGAATCAAGAGCCTAAAAAACCTGCAAAATCAAGAGAAAATGTTCAAGTAGTGACCAAAACGTATATTCTCCCAGATAATGGTAAGTACCTTAAGTCCATAAGTACTTAGGTCCATAGGTACATGGTGATGGTATTTGGGAATATGACAAAGCATTAATGTTGCTGCCACAAATAATTATCTTCTGGAAAAGGCCTTATCTGTCAGTAGTGCTCAAAGGCATACATGATGCAGCCAAACAGTAATTTTTGTTATCATTGTGTTTGCCTCAAATACATTACCTGGTTATTTTGGAATAGCTAGAGTAATGAAAACATGAGTGCGTGGGTGGAGAAAGTAAAGTACAATATTGCATCTAGATAGGAAAATGGTCAGAGGTCTCAACAAGAACCAAAATTACTACATAATGAAAAATGTCTTTTATATTTTGAATGCATCTGGACCCCACCCTAGGTGGTAGTTGGCAACCTGAAATATCCTGAACCAAAAATCAGTATTTGTTAATAATCCTTTTCACAGAATATGCCAATGGAGAATATTGAAACGCACATGCAATAGACCCATATTCAGGTGCAGTCACTTCCTTATTTCTGAGTAGCTCCTTCCTATCCACCTTTTCTGCACGTATCTCAACTAATCTAAGATTACTGTTCTTGACATAATCACCCAAAGATGTAGAGTTACTTTTTATTCTAAGGAACTGACGGTATAGTAAACTATCCCTTAAATGACTTATAATGCAAGTATGTTGGTTTTTAAAAAGCTATGGATTGCCAGCAAATTATTCCTTATTTCCATGTTCTGCAGTTTATTATCATTAAATATGCCAGTAATAAAACGGGATCATTAAATGTGGCCTTCATGGATCTTAGAAATGCTTTTGATACTATAAGTAAACTGTGGGCAAAACTGGGGAAATGAATAAATGTCTCTTTTATTTGTCAGCTTTATGACCACCCAGCAGCCCAAGTTAGGTGTGACCCTTCAGGAGTACTGACAGGGGTATGAGAAAAAAACACAGTATTTTTCTGGTTCAGGTATATTGACCTCCTTCCCATTGGTATTTCCTGATATTCCTGAATCTCAATACCGGTATGGTATTTGGATTCGGTAAATATTCAGGATTGCTGATTTTTTTTTGGCTTTATTATTCCCTATTGGGACCGTTATAGTCAATGGTCCCCATAGGATATAATGGAGAATTGATCCAGGAGTATCTGGAGCTCTGTCGGGGCTATTTTTTGAGGTCGAGGCACCAAATTTGCAGCATTACTGCTGGTGCCACTCCTCAACCCTCCCCAAGTTTTAACAAGATTGGATCAGGGACCCAATTCTATGGACTGCAGAAGAAGGTGCCCCCATTCTCCATTGTTTCCAATGGAGGGGGGAAAGGCATTCAAAGGTAATGCGGTCCCTTAAATGACTTTTGCAAGCTGCAGCTGAACTCCAAATGTATTTAAAAGGCCCATGGTCCCCTTAAATGCCTTCTTCAAGCTGCAGCTTCACCTGGAAGGAATTTAAAGGGACTGCAATCCCTTTAAGCACCCTTTAATGCCAATTATCCAGCTCCCCCCAAAAATCCCAATTGTTTTCTGGATTTTTTGGGCTTGGACATATTGGATAGCCAGATAAATACCCCAGCTGATATCCAGCTGAATTTTTTTTTTCCAGCTTGGATAAACTGAATACACACCCCTACTGACAGATCCTGTTTTGCTAGATAAAGGCGTTAAGCAAGGATGCATTTTGGCCCCTCTGTTATTTAATTTATATATTAATGATCTTAATTCTTTTTTGTTGGAAGAGGATTGCCACTTGCCTTATCTCACATAGGTGAAATTGCAAGTTCTCCTGTATTCGGATGATACTGTCTTGCTGTCTGGATGCATAAACTTATCTGTCTGTTTTCTAAATATTGCTGTAGGGAAGGTTTGGTAATCAATGCAGCAAAGTCTAAGGTTGTTATTTTTAGTAGAAAATGTAAAGTAAGGGATTATAAATGGACTGTGACTGGTGTACCTACGTAACAGGTGACTCAGTTTAAATACTTGGGGGTATTGTTCAGTGCTGATCTTTCATGGAGAACTAATGCGACATCGGTTATAAGAGCTGTGAACAGCATTGGGAAAGCAATCACTAGATTCTTTTATACTTCAGGGGGACAATATGTACCTTCAGTGCTCAGAATATTTAACTCTAAGGTAGCTTGCCATTTGTTATATGTGGCTGGTGTATAGAGGGAGGCTGTTACTGAGGATATCAATCAACTGCTGATTAACTTTCTTTGTGGTGTATTTGGGGCCCCCAAATGTGGGGCCAGCATTGTTCTAAGAGCTGAACTGGGTGAAATTTCTTACAAAACTAGGCATGGAGGAAAGCATTTAATTTAATATTTTTTGCAGCCTTAACAGTAGAAATTTATAGCTTTTAACAAGAAGCAGGACCCGCGATACTCATGGGGTTGGTGTATTCCTCACAGCTCCCGGGCTGCCAAGGCTTCTCCCCGCCACTGCCACCCACAACAACAACAGTGGCAAGCCCTGTGCGGCTGTGAGCTGTCAGGTGCACCAGGCTTCTCTCTCCCCCCCACCACCGCGGCAACAATTGGCTCAGCTCCTGGTTGTGGGGCCTGCCAGGCTTCTCCCCCCCGTCTCTGACAGTGGCAACGGCTGTGGCTCCTAGTTGTCACCCCCACCGCTTCTCCACCCCCACTGCCACCGCCAGCACCAACCACAATGAGCCCTGCGGGTAAGTGCATTCTCTGCGCATGTGCAGGGAATGCTTTTTTACTTTTGTGGGGATTTAAGTATCCCCCCTATAGTTTTTAAAACTTTTCAGATTTTTCTGCACACCTGGGGACTGCCCCAAGTGTGAAGGAAAATCTCTCTGCCCCCGATGTGCCCCCGATGTGTGGATTTAGATATCCGCACAGAGGGGGCAACTTGGCTATTAGATATATAGATACAACAAACTATTAAATACTAATAGATTGAAAGCTATTCAAGTGTAACAATGACGTTTCTGAAATGTTAACTGTGCCTACTTTGGAGATTCCCTCACCTTGCTCTATAGGTGCGTTCCAAAAAGTGGTCACTTAACAATGGAGCAATCTACTTACTCCCCCCTCCCTTTTAGGCATACCTAATAGTTGAGGATAGACAACCCAACCTTTCCATAAGCCATACAATCTTTAACTGCAAGAAAATCATGTATTGCAGTAGCTATATAGTAAGACTTCCCATAGCAAAACCAGAGCTTCCTCCTCCCAGAATCAGTTAGCGTGCATTTACAGGACTCGATCTTTCAGTGGCCATCAGAGAGACAGAGTCATGAATGGCCTGCTTGTTGTTCTTTTCAGGGGAACCTGGAGACTGTAATCTTCTTTTAGGAGTGTGTTGGTTATTGTCAGTCTCATCCGATATTCATAATGCTTCTAGAAGTTCAAAGCCCGATTCTTCATCCAACGCTTGTAGTATTGTCCCATGATGATTAACCTGTAGGAGTCCTGTTGGCAGCCATTTATAATTAATGCTTCCTTGTCAGAGTCAAGAGATGATGGGCTTTAAAGATCACTGGATCTGCAGTGCCTCTTGGGGTATATCCAGGAAAATCAATATTTGCAGCTCCTTGAATAATAGGAATCCTTTAGCCTTAGCCTTGTCTAGAATTTGCATTTTGGTTCTCCAATCTGCTACTTGTATTAAGATGTCTCTGGGACCTCAGCATTTTGGATTAGTGGGGGGCCCCAATCTGTAAGCTTGCAAAATGGCCGGTGCCATCCCACTCTTTAACTGTAATACGGATGCAAATCAATTTGAAATGAAGCAAATGAGATCCATTGATCCTTCCTCCCCCTCTGGGATCCCTCTAATTTTTAAATTAAGATATCTGACCTGGGTTTCCAGAGTTAGCAGGTGTTCTCTATATTGAGTCTCTCTGGCCTGGATATCCTTTAAGATCATGCCCATATTAAGAGCAGTCTCTGCCTTCTTAGATGTCTGTGCTAGAGAAGCTTGAATCTCAGAGAGTTGATCCTGGACAGGTTAAAGAGATCATAATAAGTTTTCGGTAAGAGGTCCTGTTTACATAAGGAAGACTCCACTAAGTGTGCTATATTCGGGTCGGTAGCCATTTCTGTTTTTTCAGTGCCAAAAGTTTTGTTGTCTGGGAGGCAATTTCGCTGAGTAAAGAAGTCCTGGGGGATCTTACTTGTTGATTTTGAGTTGTTGGCCTGGTTTCTGCTATTTTTGCCCATTCCTGGGGTATTGAAAGCTCCAGTTGGTGTCTGTATCCGTGATATTAGAGGGAAAGGGAGCAGAGCCAGTAGATTAAGCAACCACCATTGTGCTCAGCATTGCCATCCCCCCAATTTAAATTTAAAGAACCTGCGATCAGATCAGGAGCTAAGTTTGCTTGGTCTTATTAAATCAGACAGTTATAAGAGCAACTGGGATAAATTGGTGAATGATAAGTTAATGTTCCTAGAGATTTCAATAGAATTGATGGGGAGAATAAATGTCCATGAGCTAAGACATCTGATTGAAATTCGTTTGAAACATCTGGATTATAAAAGTATAGCAATAAGGTCAAGAATAGTTTCCTCAACCTTCACGGTTGGCATTCCCCTACCAGTTAGCATCCCAATGTATTTTTGTGATCTAACATATCCTAAATATGGACATACCTTTATGTTGGCACATCTTAATGCGCTACCATCTGCAGTCTTGACAGGTAGATACGCTGATATTCCATATTCAGAGAGAACATGCAATTGAAACTGTAATCGACTTGAATTCATTGACCACGTACTTTTAAGCTGCCCTGGATTTTTATAATTTAGACAGGAGTTGATTTCCCCCTACTTAGTAAGGACTCTGCTTCTCCAACTGCTGAAACTTCTAGGCTACTGAGCAATGTAGATGAATGGGTTACATACAGGGTTGCTAGATTTTTGGCTGTCATAGAAAAATGGAAACATTCTAAACAACTGCATAAATGCGGTCATATTTTGTTTGGGGGATCCCATTATGTGGGTAGCTTTCCGTTAGTTGCTTAAAGATAAACTCTCAGTGGCTGTTTGAG